TTCTTACTGTACAGATTAGATGACTATTCTTTTTTAGTCTAATCTGTACGACCCTGAATAGTTGTTTTTTTTTTTTTCCTCTTTTTAACACCGAACGACTTAGCTTGAACTCCTCTCAACGCCCACCTGTCTTGAAGGTTATTTTGATTTGTTTTCTTCTTTTTTTCTTTTTTTTTTTTCCTTTCCTGAGGGGCAGCCCTAACCGCTAGACGTCTCAGCCTTGATAACCAGCAAGACAACGATGTCAGGGAAGAGTATGCTTTCTTCTGGGCGCTTAATTGACGAGGTCTGAGCCGTGTAGAGCTAACAAATTGGAGATCACTGTGCTTTATTCGACTGAAACAATTCCTTCTTCTCTGCCCTATCTACCCAACGCCATACACTTGTCATACACTGCACAAGGATTGAGAACGGTGTAAGGGAAAGGTGGAGAGGAAAAGAAGGAGCTTCAGGCGCGCAATCTGCAACGTGCACGATATGATTAGTAGCACTCGAACGAGAATTAGGTGTTATTTGCACTCACGCCTGATTGTTGTTGTTGTTATATGACTAGAATAACGACATGTCCCACCCATTCGCAACCAGCTTTTGCCCCACCTATGATTGCTTCTTTGCGATGGGATTCTTATGGTTCATGGACGTGGATCGTACATAGTGAGTGTTTAGATAGGTTCAATTGCACTATCCTGAGTACATATTCCGTACGTAGCACCAGTAAATACTGCCTCTGCTGGGTCTTAGCCGGAGATGGGAAGTTTATTACGTACTACGCATGTGAAAGCCGGCAATTGAGTTGCACGGGACCTCCTGATATTGATCTTGATACGCCTAGTGGAATTCAAAATATATTGTTCAGCGGCTCAATGGTCTAGCGGTATGATACTCCCTTCGGGTGGGGAACAGCCCAGCACGGGATAACACGTGTTCTGAAAGTGGGAGTGGCCCCGGGTTCGATTCCCGGTTGAGCCCCGGTTGACACTTTTTTTTCTTATTTGTCATAACATCTACATACATAACTTGGCTGTGCCTTGTCTCCACGTCGGTCTATACCTGGCATCAGCCAACCAATCTTCCACCAACCGTTGTCCCCTGTCATCTCAAGCTGAATAACTAAGAAGAGCCTCTATGTGGTCCTTCCAGCTATGCAAGTTAGGAAGGTGGACAGAAAGGGTTAAGTCATGCACGCTCAGGCAGAAAGACAGTTAGCTAAGACGCATGCACGGAAGGAGTTCTAGTCAACTCACACAGAGTGGATTCTCATCGCTAGTTTATGAGTGTGCGAAATGGAAAGACACTTCAATTGAGCGTTGGCAAAGGTTAGCACAGCTTGAATAAGCAGAATTGCAATGCTGGCAAGCTGCTTCAATCATTGAGGCTTCTTCTGGTGGAGAGTGGTGAAGGATGGCATGATGGCTTGACTGGCTGTGAATTCACATCCACTACGTGATAATATGGTAACCATATTCAACTTCACTGTAAGCATCTTTTCTTTTTTTGCTTTGAAAGTGATGGGACGTGGAGTTAATGGAACCGGGGCCGCGTCATTATTCATCACACTATGCTAATCACTCATGATTGAAGGATGCATCTCTTCTCGTGCATTGCCAACGAAGGGTAGCGGAAGGTGAAGGTCTGGCCTTTGCCCCTTGAAGAACTACACGCAGCTGCTATCCGTGCGCATTAGCAGGGGGAAAGAAAAAACAGAAAAAAGGGGGTTGAAAAGGCAATAGAGCAGGTTCCTGGTTCTTCCCCATGCAGTTTGACACTGATTCTGAAAGGAAAAAAAAAAGGACCCAGTTCGCAACTCAGCGGTCAAGCCTCATCTGTTTTTGGTGCCTGCATTGCTCCATGATGCGGGAGAAGAAAGCTGTCTCCGAACCCCTTTTCTCTCTTTGAAAAATGGTACATCTCTCTGGGTATAACCGCATGGGTTACCTTCCTAAGCCTGGACGCTTTCCGCTTCCCCTTTCAAGACACACATGGCCGATTTTCTCAAGTCTTAAGCACGGTTCTCTTTCAAATCACAGTGGATAGAGTGGCTCGCCTCTTCTATCACAACTTCGGTGCTCTAGGAGGCACATATTCCTGTTGTGCTATTCCCCCACTTTCCATCATTGACAGGGAAGTGAAAGCTTCTGTTAGCTCAGAACAAGCATCCCAAGATAGGCACTTGTTGCTTTTCTTCATTATTTTCTTTTTATCCCTCTCGGTCGGAATGTTAGGTGGTTGTCTGAAAAAAGTATACGTGAGCTCAATGAATGTTCTGGTTTCTCTCTGGGCACAGAAGAAAACAGAGCAAGATCATGGAAGACAGCGAGCGAAGAAGGATGGAATGGCAGAAATATTCAGAGTATACACTTTTCAAGAAGTTTGTGCCCTCTCGATGGGTCATTCAATCAATCAATCAATCTCGTGGACGGCTCACCTGCACCGCGCTATGCAAGCATGCTTCTCGCAGGTTATCATTCTGAGAGACGATAACGAGCTCAGACTCTCAGTTGACTTGAGTACCTGGAGTCTGAGAGAGATCGGCATCGTGCGTTTGGACCTTCTCCCGAAATCAACGAGTTATGATCCCAAGATGGAACACTTAGCTTGTTGACGAATGACTCATGTCCAAAACAGTAG